TTTTTCTGATTTTTTTTTCTTCATTTTCCTGTGATTTTTTTCTGACTTTTTCCTAATTTGTTTTCCTAATTTTTGTGTGTGCCCTGCAGAGCTGGACCTGATTCCCGCCTGCGCCACCTTCTTGTCTTGCCTGTTTCTGCGCCTGGAGTTGGGCATCGTGATCGGCATCGGCATCAACGTGCTCTTCCTGCTGTACGCCTCGGCGCGGCCGACCGTCTGCGTCCAGAGGGTCATGGTAAGTCGTAAAGCCTCGCTCCGCCCGGTGGTGGTGGTGGTGGCTGCCGCCGCGTGGGTAGGCAACCCATTCGACTCCAGCTGAGCGCTTTGGCGCCGGTTGCGCCAGCGTGGTCTTCCCTCGCCCGGATCTTGAGTAAATTGGGTTGCCTACCGAATAAAAATATTTTACCGGAAAAATGAGTCGGTAAAACTCAAACCTGTAAAGATGACTCGGCCGTGCCGTATCGTCCTGCCTACTTTGCGTTCACTGACATTTTCAACTGTTGGACTCCCTTTTGCAGAGCGCCGTGGGCATCGAGTACCTGCTGGTGACGCCGGACCGCAGCCTCGTGTTCCCCTCCGTCGAGTACGTGCGCAACATGGTGTCCAAGGTGGGCATGAAGCAGGGCTCCAGTTCGGTGCCGGTCGTCATCGACGCGAGGCACATCTACGGCGCCGACTTCACTGCCGCCAAGGTTGGTAAACCACCGCTCAGCTCGGAAACTAATGGTTTAAAACGTTTCGTTCAAAACCGCCTGCTCAACTTGCTACTCTTCCTGCGCGCGCAATTCCAGGGAGTGAAGTCGCTGACCGAGGACTTTGTGAAGCGGAAGCAGCCCCTGCTGTTCTACAACCTCAAGCCCACCGTGGTGGAGGTGTTCCAGGGCGTGCGGCCGGGCGACCTGCGCTACTGCCGCACGGAGGCCGAGCTCAACGACCTGCTGAGGAGCACGTGCTCGGGCAGGGAGCGGTCGTCGGTGTGACGGACGGGGAACTTGGAGCGCCGTGTGTGTGACGGGGCGTCGTGTGAGAAAAAGACAGCGAAGCTGCCGTGGAAAGGCATACTGAATGTTTTGCAAGGGCAGAAAATCCCGCCAAGGTTTATATAAGTAGGAAATTTAAAAAGTTTTAGGTGCTATGTGAATTTTGACTTCTTTGAGCACAAGCTTGAAGCGAAGATGTCGCCCTTTTGTGTTTTCATTGGTTTTAATGGAACTCCTGAACTCAGTCTGTTGAGGTAGGGCATTATTATGTTGTCATATTTATGATTTTAGGCAACTTTTCTGTTGATTCTTTTATT